CACACTTGAAAAAAATGCGGCACACTTGAAAAAATGCGGCACACTTGGCAAAATGCTGTACACTTGGAAAAATGCGGCACACTGGAAAAAATGCCGTATACTTGAAAAATACGGGACACTAGGAAAAATGCGGCACACTTAGAAAAATGCGCCACACTTGGAAAAATTCGCCACACTTGGAAAAATCCGGCACACCGGGAAAAATGTGGTATACCTAAAAAAAATGCGGCAAACTTGGAAAATTGGGGCACACTTAAAAAAATACGGGACACTAGAAAAAATGCGGAACACTCAAAAAAAATTCACCACACATGGAAAAATGAGGCACATTTGAAAAAAATGCGGCACACTTGAAAAAAAATGCAGCACATTTGGAAAAATACGGCACGCTGGGAAAATTGCGGTATACTTTAAAAATGCGGCACACTTGGAAAAATGCGGCACACTTGAAAAAGTGCGCCACACTTAGAAAAATGCGGCACACTTGAAAAAATTGCGGCACACCAGGAAAGATGCGGCACACTTGAAAAAATGCGGCACACTTGGCAAAATGCGGCACACTTGGAAAAATGCTGCACACTGGGAAAAATGCGGTATACCTGAAAAATGCGGCACACTTGGAAAAATGCGGCACACTTGAAAAAATACGCCACACTTAGAAAAATGCGGCACACTTAGAAAAATTGCGGCCCACCAGGAAAGATGCGGCACGCTTGAAAAAATGCGGCACACTTGGCAAAATGCGGCACACTTGGAAAAATGCTGCACACTGGGAAAAATGCGGTATACTTAAAAAAATGCGGCACACTTGGAAAAATGCAGCAGACTTAAAAAAATTCGGGACACCGGGAAAAATGCGGCACACTAGAAAAAATGCGCCACACTTGGAAAAAATGCGGCACACTTGAAAAAATACGGTACACTTGGAAAAATGCGGCACATTGGGAAAAATGCGGTATATATGAAAAGTGCGTCTCCGTTGAAAAAATTCGACACTCTTGGAAAAATCCAGCTCACTTGAAAAAAATGTGGCACAATTGGAAAAATACAGCACACTTGGAAAAATGCGCCACAACTGGAAAAATGCGGCACAGTTGAAAAAATGCGGCACACTTGGAAAAATGCTGCACACTGGGAAAAATGTATTATACTTAGAAAATGCAGCACACTTAAAAAAAATACGGGACACTAGGAAAAATGCGGCACACTTAAAAAAATGCGCCACACTTGGAAAAATGCGGTACACTTGAAAAAATATGGTTCACTTGGAAAAATTAGGCACACTTGGAAAACTGCGCCACACTTGGAAAACTGCGGCACAGTTAAAAAAATGCGCCACACTTAGAAAAATGCGCAACACTTGGAAAAATACGGCACACTTAAAAAAAAATGCGCTACACTTGGAAAATGCGGCACACTTGGAAAAATACTGCACACTTGGAAAAGTTCGGCACGCTGGGAAAAATGTGGTATACTTAAAAAATGCGGCACACTTGGAAAAATGCAGGACAATTGAAAAAATGCGCCAACCTTGAAAAAAATGCGGCACACTTGGAAAAATACACCACACTTGAAAAAATGAAAAAAATTTATCGCCCAAGTTTTTGGAAATCGACCCAAAGTTGGTCAAAATCCGGTCTCGGCACTTTCTAGTCACTAAGTGAGTTAAAGAGGGGCTATATTTCGGCTACACTGCTCATAACCAAGCCTTAAAAGACTTTTCCTCTGTCCATTTCACTGAAAACCAAAGTCTTCTCGAATTAGTTTAGCCTCCATGGGACTCGGAAATATCGCCCAAGTTTCTGGAAATTGACCCAAAGTTGCTCAAAATTCGGTCTCGGCGACTTTCTAGTCACCAACTGAGTTAAATAGGGGCTATATTTCGGCCAGACTGCTCATAACCAAGCCTTCAAAAATTTTTCCTCTGTCCATTTCACTGAAAAACAAAGTCTTCTTGAATTAGTTTAGAGCACCTAAGACTCGGAAATATCGCCCAAGTGTTTAAAAATCAAACCAACGTTGGTCAAAATCACGCGGCGCGTAGCCCGGTCTCGGTGACTTTCTAGTCACTAAGTGAGTTAAAGAAGGGCTGTATTTCGGCCACACTGCTCAAAACCAAGCCTTCAAAAATTTTTCCTCTGTCCCTTTCCCTGAAAACCAAAGTCTTTTCGAATTAGCTTGGACTCCATGGGACTCGGAAATATCGCTAAAGTTCCTGGAAATCGACCTAAAGTTGGTCAAAATCACGATGCGCGTAGCCCGGTCTCGGCGACTTTCTAGTCACTAAGTGAGTTAAAGAGGGGCTATATTTCGGCCAGACTGCTTATAACCAAGCCTTTAAAAATTTATCCTCTGTCCATTTCACTTAAAACCAAAGTGTTTTCGAATTAGTTGAGATTACCTGGGACTCGGAAATATCGCCCAAGCTAATGGAAATCGACCCAAAGTTAATTAAAATCACGTTGCGCGTAGCCCGGTCTCAGAGACTTTCTAGTCACTAAGGGGCTATAGTTCAGCCAGACTGTTCATCACCAAGCCTTCAAAAATTTTTCCTCTGTCCATTTCACTGAAAACCAAAGTCTTCTCAAATTAGTTTAAAGTCCCTGGGACTCGGAAATATCGCCCATGTTCCTGGAAATTGACCTTAAGTTGGTCTAAATCACGCTGCACGTAGCCCGGTCTCCGCGACTTTCTAGTCACTAAGTGGCTATATTCGGCATGACTTTTGAGAAAGGGCCAAATCTAGCTTAATTCTTCAAAAAGTCCAGTAAGCATAGTTTGA